CTCTCTCTCTACCACTGTTAAGGGAATGATCATTTTCTGCTTACCAGACACAGCGAGGCAGGAGGTGATGAGGAAACACATTCAGTCCCAGCCCCAGCCCCAGCTTGGTGCCCCCACCATGGTTTGCTCTTTGCACTCTTGCTGCCTGTCAGGGACTCCTCACAGCAGCCCCTGGAATCCTAAGGCCCAGTGGACACTGTCGCCTTGGCGCTTGCTGCTGCCGAGTCTTTAACTTCCCTGTGCTTCTGGGTAATTATAGACTTGTCTGCCTCACCTCGACAGTGACTCCAGAGCTACTCCAGCTTCTGAAGGAGACTTTTTGTCTATTGCCACCCTTAACACACACTCAGAAGAGGAAACCAAGGGTCAGAGAAGCCTGGCATATGTCACATGACTGCCACACGGCAGGTGACTTGACTTCAGTCCAGCTGAGTTCTCCTAGTCTCACTCTCCACACTGACTTCCGGCTGCTGGCTTGGTGCAGCCTCTGAACTCCCCTCAAAGGCTAAGGAACTTCTGCTGCGCTCCAGGGAGGATGTTCCCACAGAATACTTCAGTGATTCGTTCTAGCTGTGGCTGTTCTAGAACCTTCTTTGAATGGAGTGGGCAAAAAGGGTTCAGAGCAGCAATGTGTCAGTCATGACATATCGCCTGGGACATCTCTGAGAGTGGACACAGCTGGTCTGTGAATAGTCGAGTTTGAGATGTGGGGGCAGTGGCTGTGGTGGTCACACGGCTGGTTCTGTAGGAGGTCATCCTATCCTTCCCCATGACAAGGTGCCACCAGTTCCCTGAAGGTCAGGAAGATGTGATTGTACCAGAAGAAATGGCATTACACTCTCTGAATGAGATTTCCTGGCACTGATTGCCTTCTCCATTATCCCCTGCAGGAGGCTACGCAGCCGCCTCTGTCATGTCTGCTTTCTCTGCCTTCCTCACCCCTTGCTAAGTTTCTTTTTTTTTGTAATATAATTTTTTTTATTGAAAAAAAAAGTTTCTGCCTCCTCCCAGCCTCCCATTTCCCTCCTCCTCCCCCCACTCTTCTCCCCCTCCCCCCACTCCTCTCCCCCTCCCTCTCTAATCCAAAGAGCAGTCATGGTTCCCTGCCCTGTGGAAAGTCCAAGGTCCTCCCC